TTCAAAAAAGAATTGGTGGCAAGGGAAACAAAAGCAAAAATAAACTACTGGAACTACATCAAAATAAAAAGCTTCTGCACAGCAAAGGAAACCATCAACAAAATGAAAAGGCATCCTATGGAATGGGAGAAGATATTTGTAAGTGATGTATCTGATAAGGGGTTGATATCCAAAATATATAAAGAACTTATACAACTCAACACCAAAAAAACAAACAACCTGATTAAAAATTGGCCAGAGGACCTGAATAGGCATTTTTTCAAAGAAGACATCCAGATGGCCAACAGATACATGAAAAGATGCTCCACATCACTCATCCTCAGGGAAATGCAAATCAAAAACACAGTGAGGTATCACCTCACACCTGTCAAAATGGCTGGCATCAAAAAGGTAAGAAATAAATGTTGAGGAGGATGTGGAGAAAAATGACCTCTCATGCACTGTTGGTGGGAATGTAAATTGGTGCAGCCACTAGAGAAAACAGTAAGGAAGTTCCTCCGAAAAAAAATTAAAAATAGAAATACCATACGATCCAATAATTCCACTACTGTGTGTTGAGCCAAAGAAAAGTAAAAACACTAATTTGAAAAGATATATGCACCCCTGTGTTTATTACAGTATTACTCACAATAGGCAAGATATGGAATATTATGCAGCCTTAAGAAAGGATGAGATTGTGCCATTTGCCACAACATGGGTGCATGGGCGGACCTAGAGGGTATTATGCTAAGTGAAATAAATCAGACTTAGAAAGACAAATACTAAATGATTTCATTCATATGTGGAATCTAAGAACAATGAATAAACAAACAGAAACCAGAATCATACCTGTAAATTCAGAGACCTGATGGCTGATGGAGAAAAAGGGAGAGAATGGGGGGTGGACAAATTGGGTGAAGAGGGGTGGGAGGTACAGGCTTCTGTTATGGAATGAATATATAACAGGAATAAAAGGCACAGCATAAGGAATATAGCCAATGATACTATCATAGCACTATGTGGTGACAGAGGGTAGCTACACTTGTGAGCACAGCATAAAGTATAGACTTATGGGTTATACACCTGAAACGAATGAAACACTGTGTATCAATTGTACTCAGATAAAGAATTCTTTTTAAGGAGGAATTGATGACACACATGACAAGATGGCCATTATCACCTCCCTGTCATGAAGGAAATGCAAATCAAAACCACACAAGATCCCACTTCACACCCATTCAGTTGGCTGTTACCAAACATTAACACATGTTGACGAGGAACTGGAACTCTTGTACACTGCCACTGAGAATGCAAAATGGTGCTTTCATGGTGAAACACAGTATGGCATTTCCTCAAAAAATTAAACCTAGAAATACCATATGACTTAAAAATTCTACATCTCTGTATATACCCAAGAGAAGTGAGAACAGGGGTCCCATAGGAATTTGTGCACCCACATGAAGAGCAGCATTATTCACAAGAGCCAAGAGTTGGAAGCAACTCAAGAGTCCACTGGTGGATGGAAGGATAAACACAATATGGCAGAAGATTACGAGGGAATATTAGACAGCCTTAAAAGGGAAGGAAATTCTGACACATACCGTAACATGAATGAAATTTAAAGACATTATAGTAAGTGACACAAGCCAGTCACAAAAGGACAAACACTGTATCATTCAAGTTACACGAGGGGCCTAGAGCAGTCAAACTCACAGGGACTAAACGTTAGAATGGCTGTTGCCAGAGGCTGGGGAGAAGGGGGAGTTAGTGTTTAAGGAGAGACTCAGTTGCGGAAAATAAACCAAGTTCTGGAAGATGGATGGTGGTGACGGTTGCACAATGTGAATGCACTCAATGCCACAGAACTATACACTTAAAAATGGTACATTTTATATGTCTGTTTTGCAAAAGAAAAAAAAGAATGGATGAGATTAGTTTCCTGAAAGCAGAATAAAATGTTGAACAAAAAAAGTGTTTTAAAAAGGTTTTAACAAGATCAGAGAGTATAATTTTGGCCAGGTAGAAAATGATCTGGATGTTTATACACCCACACATTCACACAATTTTTAGTGAAAAGATGGTAAATTATTATTTCAGTTGTGAGAAATTTTTTATAAAATCATGAGAAAAAGACTAAAAAGATATTCTTATAAAAAGGGAACAATTTTCAATTAAGCCACCAAACAACTGCCCACAGAATAAAAACTTATTAAAGATAAATTCAAATTTTGAAAAAATAGTGAATTGTAGACAAGCTATGCCATGAGACACTTCCCAATTAATACTGAGTATAATTTGTTTTATTTTTATTTATTTAAAGAGTTTATTTAAGTCATCTTGCCACCCACTGTGGGGCTCGAACTCATGACCCTGAGATCAGAAGTCACATGCTCTCTGACTGAGCCAGCCAGGCACTGTGAGTATATTCAATTTTAAAGGTCTTCTAAATTTATGAAGAAACATTGTCAATTCATTGTGTAAAAATATAAACTGTAACAGAGATTTTAAAAAATTTTTTTACATCTGACAAAGAAGAGACTCAGCTAGATATGAAATAAATTAGTTTCTATCATGCCAGATGGTGCTCCAGCTATGTTCAGTTAAAAAAAATCTGGATTTATTGTAATATCAAAACAAGAGACTGATGTTTCCCTTATTCCTTCATTCCACCGTATGATATATATTGAAAATATTTGTGTTCGTTTTCAGAAGTAGACTCTGTGGAAAGTGTCATGGATATAGCTGTTGAAATTGTTCAGTGTATACACTCAAATGCTGTGAATCACCAGCTTTTGGAAAGGAACAGAAAGCAATAAATGTGATGATCTTGTCTCTTTATCTATGTTTGTTGGTTGGGTCATGGAAGTTTTGTTTTGTTTTTTTTTTTTTAGATTTTATTTATTTATTTGAGAGAGAGAGTGAAAGAGAGCATGAGAGGAGAGAAGGTCAGAGGGAGAAGCAGACTCCCCATGGAGCTGGGAGCCTGATGCGGGACTCAATCCTGGGACTCTGGGATCATGACCTGAGCTGAAGGCAGTTGCTTAACCAACTCAGCCAGCCAGGCACCCACATGGAAGGGTTTTACAAAGATTTACTGTGCTGTGAATTCTAATCAAGATTTGCTTGGAACAAAAGGAATTCTTGCCAAATATTTAATAATCAAAGACAAAACATGGTGATCTACGTTTTCACACTGATATCATAGTATATATGAATGAGATAAATTTGAAGCTCTAAGGACACAGAAATCTTCCTTGTGACCTAGCTAGAAGACTACAAGAATTTACATTGAAATGGAAGCTTCTCATAATAAATAAATGATTTATTGAATGATTTAACACATTTTCTAATATGAATATATATGCAAAAGATTTTTAATTGTAATAACCAGCACTATGTAAACTATCTACAAAACCTACAAGAACAATGCGGAGAATGTTGTGTTGGCATTGATGAACTTAGAGTTACTTTTCAATTTATGCAATACCCCTTTACATTCCATGTTAATGATACTGAATTGATATGAGTCAGTCAATTGACATAACTTGGACAAACAATAGTTCTAATAAAGACGAATTTGTCTTGTCAATGTGGAAGTGAACATTAAGGGAAGATTATTTTTTGGTGCTTGATCCTGCAACTGAAAAACTTTGAAGTATGCTTGGAAGAGCTTGGGTATGTGACTTGATTTTTTTCAACCATAAATATAAATACAGATTAAATATTTCTAACAAAAATTCAGCATCTAGATTGAGTTGTGCTCAGTATAAAATAGCCCTGGTTTCCAAAGGCTTAAAACAACCACACAAAAGAACGTATCTCATTAATGATTTGTTTATACTGAATATATGTTGATGTGATGAAATTTTAGAAATACTGGATTGAATAAAATGTAACATTAAAATTAATTTCACCTGTTCCTACCTTTTTAAATGGGGTTACTAGAAGATTTTATAGTATATATGTGGCTTGCATTAGTATTCTATCAAACAGCACTCATCTAGAATCCCTCCCTTTTTATTAGTGCCAGATCTCCTCTGGGAGAATTACCCACTGGGATTCACTCCGACATGAGGGTAATGAAGGCACTTGCCTCCTCTTGCAATTCCCACGGAGGAGGCAGAAGGACCCCCGTCCGAAGAGGGTGCCATGGATCGGAATGATATGGCGCTTACTCCTGGGACTTCGATTCTGGAGTAAGTGGTGCAGAGACAAGGATTGTCTGGAAGTGGAACTCAGTATGATGTCAGTGGCAGTGTGTGGACCCAGCTCTTCCAATTTCCCAAACTGTATTTCTGCCGCGACAGGGATGGGGTGGATGGGTGTTGGAGAAGCAAACACGATGTCCGCTAGAGAAGCAAACACAATGTTCACCAGAGTGAGATGCTGAGTCAGGTGAAGACAGTGTCACACATCAGGTTTGAAGGGTTAGGGAATCTTCCAAATAGGGACTAAGCAACAAAGGTGGAAGCTAGGAAGCTGGCAAGGGGCTGGAGTGTGGAGTGCAGCGTAAGCTGTCCCTAAGAATGAACGGTGGGGTGGGTAGCTGACAGAAACCACAGCGAGACTAAGTAAGATGGAGATAAGACCTCCATATCTGTCCTAATCAACAGTCCTGCTAACCAAACCATCCTCTGCATTATGGAGTGAACAGCTGGGTTAATTCAAGAAAAAGGACTCTCTGGAACCACAATGTCATGGCAACCGTGAAGGAATTCTCCTTTCTCTATAGACCAGAGCTCGGTCCCTCTATTATTTCAGTTCTGGGGAAGGGTCCAGGTTGTAACTGGGCTCCTGCAACCCATGCCGGAGTTCTGAGTGCGTCTCCCTTCTTTACTCCTGCACCTGAGTCCCTGTCCTAATGCATTGCTTGGGGTGTAACTTATTTGTCCCAGAGGCAGGAAATCTTCCTTGAATCTCAACTCAGTGACCACAGCCCTGCTCTGGCTTCCTTAGTTGGAAGCCCAGGCAGCTCTGGGCTGAACGGACTGACCCATGGCCCCCAGGATGAGTGATACTACCTGTTCCATTCCTCGGGCAGCGGAATGTCTTGAGAGCCAGGACACCTGGCTTCTAGGCCTGGCTCTGCCACTAGTTGCATGACTTTAGGCAAATCACATCACCTCTCTGGGCCTCAGTTTTCACACCTGAGAAACGAAGGGGTTGCATTATATTAGTGATTCTCTACTTTTAATTACTTTTCCCTCCCAAACATAACCAGTGATGTATATTTTACCTAAGAGACACACACCCATATGCAACTGCTGGGTGCTAACTGATTACCCCCCTTCCTTCCCCACTCAAGAAAGCCTATCGGAATGCAGGGAAGAATGTAGATAATTTGATTGCATTTTTTTAATATTAAAAATAATCATGTGCAAAAAAAAATAATCATGTGCAATCTTTTGACTGTAACAGAGTTATACTTATTGAGGATTTAATTATCCACCTTCCAAATAAAAAGGGAGAGAGAAGGAAAGAGAGAGAGCCCAAGAAGGAAAAGCTCATCACTTAGTGAGGAATGAACATGAGGTGGGAAACATGGACCCCTCATCTCTTCCATTGGTCCCAGTAGTTGCAAACCTCCCATCCTGTGCCTTCCTTCCCTCTGGTGAGGTTCTCACTAAGCATAGGATCTCTGGTATGACCTCTTCCTTAGAGGGTTTTGTTTTAAGATCTGTTTATTTATTTGAGAAAAAGAGAGAGCGTGAATGGTGGGGGCAGAGGGAGAGGGAGAGAAGAATCTCCAGCAGTCTCCACACTGAGTGTGAGCCCTACGTGGGGCTCAATCTCACGACCCTGAGGTCAAGACCTGAGCAGAAACCAAGAGTTGCTCACTTAACCAACTACGCCACCCAGAGGGCTTTTCCTTGGAGGTTTTCAAGGGACACTGACTACAGTTTTCATCTTCTACACTGGCTTACTGACCCGTGGGCAGATGCTACAGAATTCTCCATAGTCTTATTTACAGATCTCACAAGGCACCCTTGACAACCTCTGAGTTTGTGCACCAAGACTGCTGGCTGCTGAACTAGTGTCTCTGAGGTCTCTCCCCGCATCAAAGTGCTGGGAAACAGCTGCCTTCAGCCTCCTACCCGCTACCTGGCTTCCCCTACCTGGTACTCCTCTTCCACATTCCTGCCTAGGACAAGCGCTAGTCAGTCTTTCTTTTCTTTCTTCCTTTCTTTTTTCTTTTTCTTTTTTTTTAAAGATTTTATTTATTTGGGGGTGCCTGGGTGGCTCAGTGGGTTAAGCCTCTGCCTTCAGCTCAGGTTATGATCTCAGGATTCTGGGATTGAGCCCCACATCGGGCTCTCTGCTCAGTGGGGAGCCTGCTTCCCCTTCTCTCTGCCTGCCTCTCTGCCTACTTGTGATCTCTCTCTCTCTCTCTATCTCTCTCTCTCTATGTGTCAAATAAATATATAAAAAGAAAAAAATCTTTAAAAAAAAGATTTTATTTATTTGTCAGAGAGAGAGCATAAGCAGGGGGAGCAGGAGAGGGAGAAGCAGGCTCCCCACTGGGCAGAGAGCTCGACGTGAGACTCGACCCCAGGACCCCGGGATCATGACCTGAGTCGAAGGCAGATGCTTAACTGACTGAGCCACCCAGGCATCCCTCCCACAGTCTTTCTTGTCAACATTTGTATCTACTTTACAGTTGTTACCCTTTGTAAGCTGCACAAGGACAAAGATTGTGCTAGTTAATTCCCTGCGCTGTTGCTGCCCGCACGGTAGGTACCTGGCAAAACAGTTACAGAATACAGGACAGACTAAAAGACTGAAAGCAGAAATAAATGAAGGAAAGGATTCCTGTCAACTGATTTACTCCCCTTTAGCACATAAATATGTGCTAGTCTTTCTCAACTTTTATGATAAACACTCACACAAACACTAAAGAGAAATTGTCAGCCCCACATAATTCTCTCCTAACGTTCAGAGCCAAGGAATTTGAAGTATTTGTCAGCATGCTCCGTTTCCCCTTCTTTGTATCCCATCTCTCCTCGAACCTCCACAATCTGGCATCTGCTGCCTCCACACGAGTAGAACTGCTTCTCCCATCAAGAATCTACATGTTGTGGTGCCTGGGTGGCTCAGTCGTTAAGCGTCTGTCTTCAGCTCAGGTCGTGATCCCAGGATGCTGGGATCGGGCTCCACATCGGGCTCCCTGCTCAGCGGGAAGCCTGCTTCTCTCTCTCCCATTCCCCCTGCTTGTGTCCTCTCTCTCACTGCATCTATCTCTCTGTCAAATAAATAAGTAAAATCTTTAAAAAAAAATCTACATGTTGCCAAATCCAATGGACAAATTTTTTTGTCCTTGTTTTACTTGTTTTCCTGACTCTAAGACCTAAAATTAAGCTGAATGTCCATTGAATGCATTTATTATTCTCATATAAGCAGAGGGAAGGCAGAAGTGATTTAAAAAAAAATGGGGGGGGGCGCCTGGGTGGCTCATTGGGTTAAGCCTCTGCCTTCGGCTCGGGTCATGATCCCAGCGTCCTGGGATCAAGCCCCACATCGGGCTCTCTGCTCAGCGGGGAGCCTGCTTCCCCCTCTCTCTCTGCCTGCTGCTCTGCCTACCTGTGATCTCTGTCTGTCAAATAAATAAATAAAATCTTAAAAAAAAATGGGAATGACAGTAAAAGTAGATACTGTTTCTATATTCCTAATATGATCAGTTTAAGGGGAGACTAAAGACAAAACCTTTTAGAGATTATAGAGATGCATTGTTGTTATTCACAAACACACACACACACACACACACACACACACACACACACACACACACACTGAATCCCTTCAATGTGCCTGGCATTGGGGAAATAAGACAAGGCAGCAGATTTTAAGGAGTGTCCCTCTGGTGGCTGTGCCCTCTATAATTAGACAGTTAATTTTGAATTTAAAAAATAATAATGAAACTGCTGGCATGTAGTATTCATATAGGAAATTCTCCCATTTCAAAAGTTCAGCTGGATGAATTTTCACTAACTGAACACACGCGTGCCAACAGCACCTCCATTAAGAAACAGAATGTCACCAGAGCACTCACTGTTTTCCTCTGGACCCTCTCTGCTCCACAATCACTGCCTTCCTGACTTGGAAAGGGTAGATCCGTGTTGCCCGAATCCATGTTTCATTCCCTGCATGAATGGAGTCATATAGGAATTCACTCTCCTATGCCTTGCTTCTTCGTTCAACATGGTATTTGCAAGATTTATTGAGACTGTGCAAGGAGTTGTACATCATTCATTCTCCCTGCTGTCTGGATTCTCTGGTAGCAATATTGGCTACGTCCCCACATGGGACCTTCCTTCCCATAATAACTGTGGTTCCCTCTCTCTCAGTAACGTCTCCCATCCCCCTTCCCTTCTTTTTCTGCATACCTCCTATTGCCATCTAACATAGTACACATTTTACTTATTTCTTTATTATTTGCCCCTTTCCCAGATTGGAAGTTCCATGGAGTCAGGTAAGTGCTGGATGAATTCTCTCTGAGCAAATGAACCTCAGCTACTTCCACGTGGTGCCCAGCATGCTCATAGCTGGAGGGAATGTCATGTTGCCCAGACAGAACAGATGGGTCAAGAACTGCAACAAAGTGTCATTTAGCAAGGGGCCAACCTGATGTGGAGCCACGTGTGGCTCTCCTACTGTGACATCTGTACCTTAACCATGAATATCGATGTGCAAATCCTACATAAAATGCTTGCCAATAAATTTCAGAAGTTTATTAAAATGGAAAAAGAAAACAGTCCAGGAGTATTTGTCAATTGGGAATATCCCTTAGGGGTATTGGGAAATTGGATGTGGACTTCCCACTTTTACATCCTTTTATATTTTTGGAATTCTTAATAATAAAATCCACTGATTTAGGAGTTAAAAATTAAAGAATAACATGCCACACTTAAGTGCAGTCTGCCTTAGTACTGTAAAAACTATTTAATATTTATAAATGGATATTAGAGATACCACCAAGCCCTACAACATTTTATAAAAATTACAAATTAAAATCACAATAATAGAAGAATGCCTGGCTTATAGTAGGCACACAGATATTTCTTGAATGCATGAAAATATATCAAGATGTTAAACCATGCCAACAGGTCAAATAAGGAGAAAAAACTCACCATTTAACTAATAAATACCAAAAAAGCATTTAGAAAGAATTCGGCATCCATTCCTGATGAAAACCCTTGGCACGCATCAAAGAAAATGGTTTCCACCCTACGCCTCTCTGCAAACCACTGCAATCTGGCCGTTGCTGGCACCACGCCATGGAAACTGCTTTCCCCAAGGCGATCAGTACCCTACATATTGCCAAATCCAATGCACTTGGATGGAGACCAATAAATATGTAATGAATTAAGGAATAGATGATAAAAGAATCTCAGATCAACAGTCAACATCACACTTAAAGCACCAGAGTTGAAAAAAAAAAAAAAAAAAAACCAGAGTTGTCTGTTCAAAGTCGGAAACTAAACCAAGATGTGAGCCACTATTATCATTTGACATTTTTCTGGAAGCTCAAGCAAAAACAAGAAAAAAAAATGGAGACAAAACAAAGTGCGGCTATTGGAAATAAGGAAATAATAATTATCTTTCTTTGCATGAGATCTAGGAGAATCATTTAAAAAACTATCAGAAATAATGAGAGGTCTAGAAGTTTACAAAGTCAATACCCAAGGAGCAGTAGTTTTTCCCAAATGTCAGCAAAGGGAATGTCTATTAAATGATGAGGTCATTGAGAAAGTAAGATATAAAGAAGGCACAAAATCCCACAAATGAGAAAGAAAACAATCTTCTGTAAAAGTTCTGTAAAAGTTGTAGAATTTCAGCATTGCAAATTTATTTTTTAAAGATTTATGTATTCGAGAGAGAGAAAATAAGAGAGTGAGCACGGGCAAGGGAGGGAGCAGAGCGAGAAGCAGACTCCCTGATAATTAGGGAGCCCAACTTGGGGCTCAATCCCAGGACCCTGAGATCATGACGTGAGCCCAAGGCAGACGCTTAACCTACTGAGCTACCCAGGTGTCCACAGCATGACAGTTTTAAAAAGGAAACATTATACAGAGGATAATATTTTTTTCATTGGCTAAAGGTGGA